CCCCCCCCCCCCCCCCCCGGGCATGGCCTTACACCACGTAAATGAGATCCCGCACATCGGGATTGACATTGAGGGTGCACACATTTAATGTTGCTAGACAGTTCTGTACCTTGTTGTCACTATAATGTGGTATGTAACAACATTCTCCCATACTTTGCAAAAAGGGGAGAAAACATTATGTTGGGGGTTAGCTCCTTTTTACTTGCTCTTATGTAGATACCTTTCAAGAAGACAAGAAGTATATTTTTGATAAGTCATCTTCTTTCAGAAAAAAAAAACCTATTGACTGCTCTTAGACTAGAATTTTTCTATTGTTGATCCGAGGGACAATGGTAGACCCTCCAAAAGAACACTTCCTGTTACACAATTATCACATCTACTGGGCTCTACTATCTTCAATTATCTTTCAAAGCATGATCTAAAGAGTTCACGGTAATGATCAATATCATTATAGACCTCTTTTACATGCACAGTAAGAAGTATTTGTGACGTTAAATCTCTGTTTAGTGCGAAAAGTATCACAATGGACCTGATATCTAGTTGACATTAGGTGAGTACGGGTAATGTTTACACTAAATATCATTAAAAAAATATGTCTCGGCATTGTCCTTCTCTATCAGGTGCAAAATTGAATCTTCCACTCTATTCTATATGTTTGTTTGAAATTCAGATTTCTAGTAAAATCTACAAGTTTCTGCTGTTGGAGTCATGATGTATTGTTCTTAGTTTTAAGAAGAACTAAAGAAAGAATGCCCTACTGGCAACGTGCAGGCTTCCTCGAATCGCTTTGGAGAGACATAGACATGAACAGACTTCACCAAGGCCCTGGTGATGACTTAAATCTCGTGATCATATCCCATGGGCTGGCTATACGCGTCTTCCTTATGAAATGGTTCAAGTGGACGGTGAAGCAATTCGAGCGGTTGGGTAACCTAGGGAATTGTGAGTTTCGCGTCATGCAGCTGGGAATGGGTGGAGAGTATAGTCTAGCAGTGCATCATTCGGAGGAAGAGATGCAGTCTTGGGGGCTTTGCTCTGATATGATAGCAGACCAAAAATGGCGAGCTAATGCCACCAGGGGTGACTGGAATGAAAGATGCCCCTGGTACCTTGATGCCTTTTTCGACACTTTTGCCGACTCTGAAGAGGATGAAGACAAAGACGAGATTGAAACCGAATCATTAGAAAACACTTGTGATTGATTCTAATTATGTGTATACTTTTTTGTTGGATAGGTCTTCTTATTCCCTGCAAAAAGCCAGAGGAGTGTCACTTTCCCTCTCCTACCAGTGCTACATACATGGAGGTTTTTCTGAATATAGCCTTCTTGTAAATTTTGATGTAGCCAAATTTTGTAATTAGTTAATTAATTGATGGGAAAATTACACCTTTGATGTGTTCCCTTAATCAATTCTTCATCCCTTTTTTTCTATAGCTGTCATGTGAACCATCAAAGCACCCGTTCAAGGCCTGCAACTATTGGTGGTGATGTTTATGGGAAGGGGAGAGAAATAATGTAACACATTCAATATTTTTCTAAAAAAGAATGAGAAGCTTATTTTGGAAGAAATCGAGAAGAAAATGGAAAACTTATTCTGGGATGAAAGAAACTTCTATATACGGAGTATTTTTTAAGAAAATGATTGGAAACTGGAAGTGTATGATAAGAAGTTTGGTCCGATTCTATTGACGATGTGTTACGATGGCACTGTTGGCATTAGACCTAGCATTGGATCAATCGGTTCTATTCTAGTTTGGATTTATTCGGTTTTGATTTATTTTGGATATGTATTACGGAGTATTATTATTATTTCAGATCAATTCGGTTCGCTACTAAATATTGGGATGTCTAGTTCCCACTACTCATTTGGGACACGTACGGTCCTTCATTCGACAAATTAATACTCCGTAGATACTATTCTCAACTCTCCTCTAAACCTTCTCTCCTACCCCAATGGCCACTGCTACCCCACCCTAGCCCCTTCGACATTTGGACTTACGAACAATTAATTTTTCAAAACTTTAAGGAACAATCATGTCAATCAAAACAAGTGTCAATTTTCGTAAGAAATTTGAAGAAAGAAAAATGATATGAGTGACACATTTTTTTTATTTAAAAGAAAACAAGAAAAATGTGTAATTTATTTTTGGATGAAGGGAGAAACCTTTAATTTTACACAAATAGTATTTTGAAGCTTACACAAATGATTAAATAAATTATATTTAGAATAACACTAACCAAAAATCCTAAAGAATAATGCATGTGAAACTCATTTAGGAACAAAGGAAATGTGAATATTAGAGCCTTGGTAATACCACTAACGCCCACAGGCATTATGTTGATTTTGATGCATGGAGGCGTTAAACACCGCACCCCCTTTCCCATTATAGCACCATTATTTTTGCAGCGTTAAACTTTTGACACAAATTGTAGGCTAAAATTTGGTCATTTGAGCCCCCCTCCCCCTCCCCACCACCCCCTTTCCTGTTACCGCACCGTGGACGTTTTTATTCAATGAACGAATGTAATTTTTTAAATTAATGAATGTATTTTTTGTTCATGAATGTAATTTTTTAATGAATAAATTTAAATAATTCAATTTTATTTATCAAATTTTAGAAGATGTGTATTTAAAATGTAAAAAATGAAGGTTTGAGGCCTTGGGGTTTCAAGCTCATTTCCAGTGAATCCAGTGAATTAGTGAGGTAAGTTAAAACTGACGTGGCAGAGACAGAAAGTTTGAATCCCCCAGGGCTTCAAGACCATTTCCAGTACTCTTAAAGCTTTACTTGGGAACATCGTTTTTAGTTAGCATTATGAATGTTTTTTAATTGTATATATTAACTTTGAAAATATTAAAGCTAAATGTTACATTTAGATAGTGTTAAAATTGTTGCCAAACAAGCACTAAAGTGCAATGAAAGTTTTTTTTGGAAATCAAGTATAATGAAAGATGTTTTGTTTGTGAATAGAAAAAATGAAGACATCTTTTTGTCCAATGTTTTTTACATATTTTTCTATTAGACATGTGCAAACAAGGGTCGGCCCGTCCGGCCCGCCCAACCCGCCCTTTAAAATGGGCGGATATGGACAATCTTTAATACCCACATGGGCGGGCCGGCCCAAGCCCGAATTTTACTTGGGTGGATCTGGAAGTTACTTTTAGCCCATCCGGGCCAATAGGCCCACCCATATTCATCAAATACATTTACTTTATTACTCCCTCTGTCCGGGAATAAGCTTCCTACTTTGACTTTTCCTCATTTTTAGTGAGGGTTGAATACATCATCAAAATGTCCAAATTACCCTCCTTTTGCCCCCCACTGCCGCCGCCCCTCCACCGCCCCACCACCCCACTGCTACCCCTGACCCACTGCTGCCCCACCGCTGCACCAGCGTCATCGCCGGCCCATCGTTGCCTCAGCCTCACCACC